GTTCGAAGGTTGCGGGAGCGTTGCATAAGCCAAAGGGCATTACCGTAAACTGCCATAGACCGTTACCAACCGAAAAAGCCGTTTTTTCTTTATCCTGAGAACGAAGTTTAACCTGCCAGTAACCACTTTTTAAATCCAAAGTAGTAAACCAAGAATTTCCAGATAAACGATCCAAAAGATCATCAATCCTAGGAATAGGGTAAGAATCCTTCTTCGTAATAGCGTTTAACTTTCGATAATCAACGCAAAACCTAATCGAACCGTCTTTTTTTCTTACCAAAACAGCTGGAGAAGTCCAAGGACTATGCGACTCCTCAATAACTCCCTGTGCCCTCATTTCCTCTAAATTTTTTTCCACTTCCCCACGCATTTGTAACGGGATCCGCCTAGGAGCCTGCTTGATTGGAGAACAATCCATTAAATTAATAGTATGTTCTACGACAGAACAGCCTCCCGCTACAACGCTTTCCGAGAAAGTATCCTGAAATTCCCTCATAAATTTAGCAAACTCCCCTGCTTGAGAATCACTCAAGACAGCAGAATTCTCCTTAAAAGTTTCTGAAAGGAAATGAGGGATTTTGTCACTCGTCTCACTAATTCGAGAACACAAAAAGTTTTCCCGAGACTCTGCCTCCCCGAAAGCAGGAGCAAAAATCCCCTCCAATCCTACCCTCGAAAGAAAATCCGTCCCCAAAATACATTCATCATTAATCTTGGCGATGAAAACTGGAAAATCTAAACAGAATTTTCCTATTTTTATTTCAACAATTGTCTTACCCTGTACAGGAACCGTTTCTCCAGTAGGATAGCACAAACGACAGTCAATTTCCTGAAATCTACACGTCCCTACCAAATCTTTTCTCAATATCGACACATCAGAGCCCGTATCTATTCTAAATAAACAAGTTTGGCCATTTACCTGGCCACGAAAACAAAAATCGTTCAAATTTTTAGTCCCCTTACCAACTCTAACGCTACAAAATTCCTTTCTCGGGGCTTTCCCTTTAAAAACCGAACTCGCCCCGCAAAGCTCGGTTAACCCGAGTTTCCCTTCCTTTCAGTTGTTACAGAAGGACATTCCGATCGAAAGTGCCCCTTTGCTCCACACTGCCAGCACTCCCTCTCCCCGCGTAAAAATTTCGGTTTAAAATTTAAATCTCTCTTTGACGTCCCTTTAACCGAATTGTCTTTTGTTCCGTTACCGAACCCTTCCCCCTTTAACTTTTCCTTTTCTTCAAAATAAAAATTCTTTTTTCCTCCCTCCTGTTTCCGCGAAAAACAATTCTCCTGAATTACTTTAATCGCCATGGCTCTTTCAATGGCAGTTCTTAACGATGACACACCTTCTAACTGAAGCGTTCTCTTAACGAAGCCGTCCGAAAGCGCGGCAATAAATTGAGCACACGCGATTTTATCTCGTACCTCAAGAGAGCATTCTGGGTAAACTAAACGGGACAAACGCTCTAAATCTGCACCCAGAGTGGGAAGATCCTCGCCGAATTTCTGTTTCCGGTTAGTAAATTGAGTATAAAATGACTGAGCCAAATGTTCCTCCCCAAAACGTAATTTTAACCTCGATTCTAATTCGGAATACTGTAATTCCTCGGACTCGGTAACCCCGTCAAGAATCGCTCGAGCTTTTCCTCTCAGACTTGAGGCAAGAGCCACAGCTTTAACGGAGTCGTTCCATTTATTCGCACGCGCTATCAAATTAAATT